TATTCCAAAGTCACAGAGTTCAGACCCTCGAGTGCCTATGAATTATAGAGGAATAAGTCTCCTTAGTTGTGTGTACAAATTGTATAGCAGTATTCTTAATGAGAGATTGACGTGTTACCTGGAATCCCTTGACCTACTGGCTGACGAGCAAAACGGGTTTAGGACAAAGAGAGCCTGTATAGATCACATTTATTCTCTTATCTCAGTAACAAATGCTAGAATACAAGAGGGAAAGTCTACATTTGCCTGTTTCATAGACTTTCAGAAGGCTTTTGACTGTGTTAATCGAGATTTACTTGGCTATATGTTATTAAAAATGGGGATTGATGGTAAATTTTATGACGCAGTTAAAGCTATTTATAAAAATCCAATCTCTTGTGTTCAAGTAAATGACCACTTCACTGACTGGTTCCCAACACCATACGGCGTAAAACAGGGTGATGTTCTGTCTCCCACATTATTTGCTATATACATTAATGATTTAGTAAATGAAGTAAAAGAGGCAGATGTGGGCATTAATGTGGGAGACTTGAAATTTTGTATTCTGTTGTATGCGGACGACATTGTGCTATTCGCCGAAAAGGAATCAGACCTTCAGAAAATGTTGAATATTGTTCATGCTTGGTGCAACAAAATGAGACTGATGATAAATTCTGATAAAACTCAAGTTATGCATTTCAGAGGAAGTACCCAGGCATTATCAGACATTACATTTTGTTTTGGCAATACAGTTCTTTCTTTTACTAAAAAGTACAAATATCTGGGATTTATGGTAGATGAACATCTCACATTTGATGAAGGGATTAAATCACTCTCTGAATCTGCAGGTCGAGCTCTCGGTGCTGTTATAAATAAAGTGAAGGCGTGTCGTGATCTGGGTTATAAGACCTACACTGAGCTGTACAGAGCGTGTGTGTGCCCGGTGTTGGACTATGGTGCTGGGGTCTGGGGTTACTCTAAACAGACGCACAGTGAAAAAGTTCAATGCAGAGCTATGAGATACTTTCTAGCTGTTCATAAAAACACCCCTAAACTCGCTCTGTACGGGGACCTGGGTTGGGAACCATGTGAAGTAAGGCATGTGTGTGACATGGTACGGTTATGGAATAGGTTTATCAACATGTCTGACTCAAGACTGTCCAAACACATCTTTAAATGGGACCTGTCTCATAGAAATGCTTGGAGTGTGCAGATGGAGAAAATTTTTGCTGATGCTGATCTCCAGTTTATTTTCAGAAACAAGTTGCGTTGTAGTGTTGGAGAATTTAAAAGAGTTTATTTTGAAAAGTATAAACATAAATGGTTAATCAATGTCTTGTGTAAGCCAAAACTGAGAACTTATGTTTTGATAAAGGATCATTTTGGTCCTGAGCCCTATGTGACCCTGAACCTGACCAGAGGTCAGAGGTCAGTCTGTGCTCAACTGAGGTCTGGGACCCTGCCCCTGGCTCTAGAGACAGGACGATTTCACTCGGTCCCAGAGGAGGAGCGGACATGTTGTTTGTGTCACTTAAATGATATTGAAAATGAATTGCATTTTGTTTTTTATTGTCCTTTGTACCATGATCTGAGAAGGCAATTATTTTGCAAACTGTCTGATGTTGCTGAACTTTTGTTTGAACTGTCCGATGAGGAAAAGCTTAAGTTTCTATTCAAGTTTAAGCCATTTCATTTGTCTAAGTTTTTGTTAAGTGCATGGCTCCAACGGAAGAGAACACTCTTTGTTTGATGTTTTTCTGATGTCTGCTACATTTTTGTGTCTTATAAGCCCATACGGGCTGGGCATCTTTAGGTGCAAGACACCAAATAAGAAATAAACTAAACTAAACTAAACTAAACTATACATTCACATGCACGGCTTGAACACACAGCCAATTTTACACATTTCCTTTTGACAAGGAAAGAAGATAACAATCTGATAACTTAACGTAATTGCACACAAGCAACCAAAAGATGTGCAACCAAAATTGCCTCAGACAAGAATCGAACCTGGGTTCTTCAGGTCCCAGTCTTTAATGCTAACCATTCGGCCAACATACGATCTCTGGGCTAGACAGGTTTGCACGCACTATGATACCTGGGCGTCTAAGTCGCTGGCAGAGCTAAAGCGGACTTAGCCTGCCACCTTGTGGCGATAAGATGTAATATTTTTCACGCAGCTGCGTGATTCCCGAAAAGCGTGAATGAAGACGACAAAACGAAATGGGACCTACTGTAGGCAATCCTTAACTTCTCCAAATACCACTCTTTGTGAGCCCTGACCTGATGTCCTACTTCCACCTATAACGTAGTCGAACATTGCTTGAAGCAGCCACTTCTCGATTTAAGAGAGGAAGCTCCGTTTTTAAGAGTTGTAGTCCGTTTTGCTCTCGCAGCAATGCTAGTTTCCAATACTTCCGCCGTAAGCTCATTCACAATCACGTGACTGGATGACGTTGATGCATCTGGTCAATAGCGGCTTTTAAGTTTTCCTCTGGCAAAAGTTGGCCCGCCCACTTTTCTCCAGGCCTGCCCTATTCAACATTTCTGCCTACGTCTCTGCAATGGTTCCTCGTTTATCGCAGGGGTTACATTCTAAAAATAACCAGCACTAAGCTGATATAGCATGCGCACCATCTGAACTCACAGCTGCTGAAGTGTGATTGCAGAACTTGTTGTAGGTCTGAGTGCTGCTACAGCTGTCAAAAGCTGTGCATACTAGTGATGGGTCCAGCAACACTGATACACCGGCGCATGTGCCGAGTTCGTTTAGCGAAACCTCGTATCGGCGCGCGTGTCGCTTTATAAAAAAGCCACGTGACCGATACAGCCGCAGTGTCGCTTGTCACCGACACGGCAAACTGTGTTTAAAAGGTTCCGCATCTGCAAGTGTCACCGGTATGATCGGCTCTCAGAAAAAGAAAATAACCTTTTCAAAAAGGAAAAACATTCCATTTTACAGCATCAAAATGGAACCTGCCACTAAAAGAAAGTATTCTGCAGTGTGATACTGCAAATAACAGCAAATAAGGCAATGTTTGACTTTCACATTTCACGCTTTATCTGCAATCAAAATTTAGTTTGAAACGGAAAATCTAGTTAGGCATGGTGGATGAGTGGATAGCGCTCTCGCCTCGCGTTTAAGGAGAACCGGGTACGAATCCCTGTCGGACCTCAAAAGTTTATGTTGACATCACAGTCTTGAAGAATGATTTCAAGAAATTGAAGTGTAGAAAATGTCCAAGGTTTTTTCAAGTATACTTTAGTTGCCAGGGTTTACAGTGCACTTTGGACATGCTTAATGTTTTGAAAAATAAAAAAAATAAAAACATATAAAATCACTCAATGACATTTTGCATAATGAATACATCCAAAACTATCACTTTAATTTTCACATAAAAAATACAACAATAACACAGACAATGCAGTTACGTAATATTGTGTACAGACAAGTATGTAAAGCTCATTGAATCAGTGAGATGGATGTAATGATTTATAAGATCCACCAGGCGTCAGTATAGAGCAGCACAAGCAACACTGTTGCGGCACAGTATCAATACAGTTCGTTGGATGTGCCGAAACGATACGTGAGGTTTCATTTACCCATCACTAGTGCATACACTATAAAATACAGCTGCAGAGGACACTGAACTGTAGTCCTCAGTCCGGCAGGTGCCGGACTGAGGACTACAGGAAGGCAGTGGAAGTCCTCACTAAAGTGACAAAATTATGACCAGGATATGAACACAACACTATTGGACCCTCATTTATACCGTTTATCAGCAAAAAAAAAGTGGATTTGAGGGTGAGTCGTCCTTTAAATGTCAGGGCTGCTCCTCCAGCAGCCCCTCCCTCCCCTGCTTCTCCTGGAGCTGCCTCCCAGAGCAGGTGTGTGGGAGAGGCTGATCAGGCCCAGCTGACTCCAGTCTGCAATCAGGCCTCTACAAGAGCTCCAGAGGCCAGCTCATCGGTGCCAGTTCGTAATCTGTGTTACAGTATGTGGACCTTTTTGTAATCGCTCTTGTTACCCTTGTACTTATCTTTTTTTTTTTTTGCCTCAGACCTCAGCTCCGCACCTCCTGCTCCCAGCCCAGCACCGCCTGATCCCTCGCCTGTATTTTGAGTCTTATTTTTGTTCATTTAACTTTTTGTTACACCTGCATTTGGGTTCTTTGTCCGACTTGTAACAGTACGAACTGGCCAAAGAATGAACCCAGCAGACCGAATTAATTAGACCCTTTCTGCCCAGATGTCTCTGTTGGAGCAACATGACAACACGCTCAAGGCCCTCATGGGCCACATGAAGTTTTCTATCAGCCTGGCAAGCCTGAGGACTCAAGTAATCAACACAACGGCCACTGATAACATTTCTGCTCCTTCAGCTGCCCCGTCTCTTAGTCCAGCCTCCTCCCACCAGAGATGTTTTTTTTCCGCCACCAGCACCGTATCACGGCGACCTGGGGTCATGTAAGTTTTTTTGATGCAGTGCTCTTATTTTTGAGCCAGATTTTTAAGGTGTTCTAATGACCGAGCCAGGATTTCTTATTTAATTGGATGTCTTTGAGGCCATGCTCTTAATTGGGCCTCCGCAGTTTGGGAGAAACAGGATCAGATTTGTGATTCCTATTATGATTTTACTACTGCTATGAGGCAAATTTTTGATCATCCTTTTAGTGGTAAGGAGGTGGCTAAGACTATTTCCCCTGCGCCTAGGAAACCGCAGTGTAGCTGAATTGGCCATTGAATTTTGCACGCTCGCAGCTGAATCCGGGTGGAAAGATGAGGCACTTCTGGGAGCATTTCTTAACTCTGATACACTCAAGGACGAGATGGCTTCCCGTGATGTTCCTAGTAGCCTCAATGAATTAATCGCTTTGGCCATTCGTGTGGACAACCGGCTCAGGGAGCAGCAACGCGAGAGAGCTGGTAGGATGCCATCCATGAGGGCTCACAACTCTCCACAAGTTGTTTTTCCAGCTACACCACCTGCTCAACTTCCATCCACGCCGGGACCAGAGCCCATGCAGTTTGGCAGAGCCCTGGTGACTGCAGAAGAGAGAGAATGCCGCATTAACTCCTGGAGCTGTCTCTATTGCGGTAAGTTTGGACACTTTATCTCTTGTCCCGTGTAAGATAAGATTCTGTTCACCAGCTGCTGCCAACACCTACCACAGACGCTAAGACTCTAAGGCTGAGTTTACACGGAGACAATGTGGCAGTAAAACGGTATAGTTGGATGTCGGTTGCTACCAACCGTTCATACGAAGACTGTGTTCCAGGGGGGTCAAAACGTAAGTGTTCAGATCCAGCCTGCAGAGTGGGACAACTCAGAAACGCTGCACAGCGGGGGCTCTTTCACACCCGCGAGAGGGAAAAAGGTGTGAAATCCCCCTCTGCTCTGACCCCCGCCTCCGCGCTGCTCCCCGCACATAAATTTGGACATGCGCAGTAGCGGAGAACAAACAAAAACAATAATGGCGCCGCGCACACTAACTAGCTTCGTGGGCTTCCAGCGCGGGACAGAGGATAATTCTACTCCTTCGTTACGCGAAGCTCTAGGTTCAGTTTCTATTTTCACAGCTGCTGTTAAAATGCAGAATGATGTTGGTGCGTTCTGAGGGTCTGGCACAGGAAGTGAGTATACTGCCGAGAGGGGGGCTGGGCACGGGGCTGGGGGTTGTGTGAGTGTTGTAAAGTTTCTCTGCCCACTACTGGCCGGGCGCCAGAACTACATCGTTTTTTAACCTCATGTGAACGCTGAGAAATTTGCATTAGGAGCCAGGTCGTTTCTGTTAATAGCCTGGAAACGTCTGCGCAGCGTCTCAGTATAAACAGGGCCTAAAACACACAGTGGCCTCTGTGGAGAAACGCCATCATTAAAGGCATCTGTGTATTACCCCGGTGTTCCAGGACAGTGGCCACTCTCTCCCCCATCGAGACAGACAAGCATCAAAGAAATCCTGCGTCATTCCCGCGGGATTTGGACTCTTTAAGACTGTTGTTTTAGTGCCCCCTAGTGGCAACAAAGGACTACATACATTTAAAACTTAAGTGTACTGTAAATGGAGCTATGCTTCTAAATGTAATCCTTCATCTCTATTGTCATAAATCTTTATTGAATTGTGAGTCACAACCTCTTTTGAAGTGTTTGGGCTTTAAACAATTATGTGTAATACATCTCACTAAACTGCATGCTCAAAAGTCTTGATTGTCTCCAAAATTTGTGTTGTGAAAGAGCCGGAAACAGGAAGTGACTACAACGTACCCGACCACAAGACGGAAGACAAAAACCAATTGGAACGCTGCGCGCGCTCTCTTGGCTCGCTTGTTCTCTTCTGCTCTTCGCCTCTTCTGTGGTGGCCTGCTCCAAGTTTCTGTGCCTGTGAGCTGGACTCGTGCAAATGGTCTCTGAACTTTGCTCAACTAAATTGGATTAACTGCCTCCTTCCCTGTACAACAAGCCGGACGGGACGCCACGCCAAACAAGCCTGCGCAGGCGCTGGAGGAGCTGGCTGCCCGTCGCGTTGCGCTCTTCAGCTTCAACCTTTTTTCTCTCTTTATAGCTGTTTTTATCTTTATTTTGTAAATATCGTTTTTATAAATCACTGGGAGAATAACAGAGTCACACGGATCATATTTTACCACGCCAAGTTCTGTTGGATTATCAAAGTTTTGAGGACTTATTCTGCTGCCGCGATGTGTGTGGGACCACAACACCCCCTCCCCCCGGGCTCCTCCATTGTTTACACAAGGGAAGAGCTGCTGGCTGTGAGGAGCTCCGTGGTCATGCCGCGGGACCGGCATGAGATCCCCGCGGAGCTGCTACGAAAATCCACTCGTGGATGTCGCGCGGGACGTAAACGCAGAGAGAAGAGGCGGGGACGCTACAGACCCACGCTTCCCTCTGTTACTACGGGCAACGTGCGCTCTCTCTGTAACAAAGCGGACGAACTCTCAGCACTGACCCGCTTTCAGAGGGAATACAGAGACAGCAGTCTACAAATATACACGGAAACTTGGCTTACAGAAATCATGCCAGACTCTGTCATAGAACTGGACAACTTCACACTCTTCAGAGCGGACAGATCAAAGCTGCACACCGGTAAGAGCAGAGGGGGAGGGCTTGCCGTGTTTGTGAACAATTACTGGTGCAAAGCTGAGCACTGCATTATCAAAACTGTGGTATGCTGTAGAGATATAGAGTTGCTAGCCATTGGCATGAGGCCTTTCTATCTGCCTCGGGAGTTTAGCCATGTTATTGTGGTAGTGGCCTACATTCCCCCATCAGCCAAGGCTGAGGATGCGTGTGACCTTTTGCACTCTACTGTAAGTAACCTACAGACTCTGCACCCCCAAGCTCTGTTTTTGATCACTGGGGATTTCAATCACGCAAACCCCCAAACTGTGCTTCCCACATTTACCCAGTACATCAACTTTCCCACAAGAGACAATAGAACTTTGGACCTCTTCTTTGCAAATGCCACAGGGGCATACAACCCAACTGCCCTCCCCCCCCTCGGCTGCTCTGACCATAACATCGTGCACCTGAGGCCTGTGTATACGCCCATTGTACACCGAGAACCAGCCACTCCTCGGCTGGTCCAGAGGTGGACTGTGGAGTGTGAAGACAGGCTGAGGGACTGTTTTAACTGCACTTTGTGGGACGAACTGTGCGACCACGGGGACGACATCAATGCCATCACGGAATGCATAACTGATTACATCAACTTCTGCTGTGAAATCGCTGTGCCTTCCAAGATGGTACGATGCTTCTCCAACAATAAGCCGTGGATGAACATTGAGATTAAGGCCCTGCTGAAGGAGAAGAAGAGGGCCTTTCTATCAAAGGACAAACAGGCACTGAAGGAGGTACAACGGAGACTGAGGCTGAGCATCAGGACTGCAAAGGCCCGCTACAAGAACAGGATGGAGGAACAGCTGAGCCAACAGAATGTGGCAGGGGTTTGGAGGAGCCTGAAGACCATCTCGGGCTTCAAAACACCCCCTGTCCAGCCTGTGGGGGACCCCCAGTGGGTTAATGATCTAAACAAATTTTTCCTGCGGTTTGATCAGAGATCCACCCCTCCCCCAGCTCAGCCGCATGTCCTAGCCGCCTCAGCAGTGGACAATAGCCCAGTCGTTCACACCTCTGTCAGTGCTCCACGGCCCCCCCCCCCCCTCAGACACAGATACTCACCCAGCCCCCCAGCCCTCCCCTTTCTTTCACACCTGCTCAAGTGAGAGGTGTGATGAAGAAAATCAAGACCAGGAAGGTGGCGGGACCAGACCATGTGAGCGCCAGGCTCCTCAGCTCCTGTGCAGACGAACTGTGCGGAGTTATGGGGCACGTCTTCAACATGAGCCTCTGCCTGAGGTCGGTCTGGAAGGAGATCTGGAAGACCTCCTGTGTGGTACCAGTGCCCAAGAAACCACGGGCCAAAGACCTCGGCGATTTCAGGCCAGTGGCTCTAACATCCCACTGCATGAAGACACTGGAGAGACTGGTCCTGGGACATCTCCGCTCCACTCTGAGCCCAGCGATGGACCCGCTGCAGTTCGCCTATAGGCCGGGCATCGGAGTCGAGGACGCCATCATCTCCCTCCTCAATCGCTCGCTGTCCCACCTTGAGAAGCCCGGCACCGCTGTGAGGATTATGTTCTTCGACTTCTCCAGCGCCTTCAACACCATCCAGCCGAGGCTTCTCAGGGACAAGCTGGAGACAGCCGGTGTGGACCACGACCTGTCTGAGTGGATCCTGGACTACCTCACAGACAGACCCCAGTTTGTGAGAACCAGGGACTACGTGTCTGAGGTCCTGACCTGCAGTGTGGGGGCCCCCCAGGGGACAGTCCTCGCACCGTTCCTCTTCACCCTCTACACTGCGGACTTCAGACACAACACGGACGGTTGTGTTCTACAGAAGTTCTCTGACGACTCTGCCATCATCGGACTCAGCTCCGAGGACGATGACGCAGAGTACAGAGGAGTTATACAGGACTTTGTGGACTGGTGTCAGCGGAACCACCTCCTCATCAACGCGGGGAAGACCAAGGAGATGGTGGTGGATTTCCGTAGACGTCACTCTGCCGCTCCAGCCCCAGTGTACATCCAGGGAAAGGGAATTGAGAGAGTGGACTCTTACAAGTACCTGGGTGTTCATCTGAACCACAAACTGGACTGGACTCATAACACAGACGCCCTCTTCAAGAAGGGCCAGAGCCGCCTCTACCTGCTGAGGAGGCTCAGGTCTTTTGGAGCGCAGGGGCCACTCCTGAAGACCTTCTATGACTCTGTGGTGGCATCAGCCATCTTGTACGGTGTGGTCTGCTGGAACAGCAGCATCACAGAGAGGGACAGGAAGAAGCTGGACAAGGTCATCCGGAAGTCCAGCTCAGTTCTGGGCTGTTCCTTGGACACAGTGCAGCAGGTGGGGGACAGGAGGGTCCTGAGCAAACTAACATCTATGCTGGACCATGACTGTCACCCCCTGCAGGACACTCTCTCTGCTCTGGAGAGCAGTTTCAGTGACAGACTAATTCACCCTCGATGTGTGAAGGAGAGGTTCCGCAGGTCTTTCCTTCCTGCTGCTGTCAGACTGTACAACAAGAATGTGTAACAGGAACTGCTGAGTCTGCACAAGTGTTTCTGATAATTCACTAGTAACTTTGTCACTAGTCACTTTACCTGTTATCAGTACTACTACAGTACTACATATCTGATATTTACTGTTATCAGTACTACTGTATTATTTCATATCTGATAATTCTGCCTTCCACCGTCACTTTACCTGTTGATATTATTTCTGATGCTTATTCTGCTCATATTCTCATATTTTCCGCTGCTAATGTATAATATAGACATCTGTAAATACTCCGAACCAAGTGCAATTGTAGCCCAGATTTTCTTATTGTATTTTATTTTATCTTAAATTTATTGTCTATTATCTTAAATAATAGACTTTGATGTGTGCAATCTGAGTGCTCTTATTTCCTTTCTCTGCTGTAATGTGCAACGATGACACTGAAATTTCTCCACTGTGAGACTAATAAAGGTTTGTCTTATCTTATCAACCCGTCTGCCACGGAGAACAACAACAAAGAAACTCCCAGAGACCTCCGGGACCAAAAGCCGGACCACGTGTTTACTTTACCAACAAAGGAACTATACTAAAAGCCATCTTCACACAGTAAGACGTATCGTTGAATGCCAATGTGTGTAAATGTGTCTGCTTTTGGTTAAGGTGTACATTTCTTTGATTCGTGACTCTCACACAAAGATTCTTATGCTTTATTGAGGTTTTCGTTCTGTAAATAAACAGCTAGAATTACTATCAGCCTCCGGTGTTATTAGTTAGTAGATAGTTTGGAGAATGAACTCTCTGGCGAATAGAACGCACACTTTTAGATTTATGAGACTGATTTAAACTGCTTATTCTTTAGTTAGGTCTTAAGACTTTTCTTTCCCCTCTCTTCAGATAGAGTATCTCTGTATTAGTCTAATCGGACCACTCTTAGAATAAGCACACCCCTTTATAAAAGGTAGATACAAGGACATTTCCAATCCAGAATAGTTACTACTGTGTAGATATGTTTTAGATATGCAGTGTATCCAAATGCATCTAAGACATATATACATTTTGTTACCCTACACCCGCACGGCCATGTTTTTGATTGTACTCAATCTCCTCTGGTTTTGAGTTTACCATGGTTAAGGTTACATAATCCTCATGTTGACTGGTCAGCTAAGAGCATTATTTCATAGAGCCCATTCTGTCATTCTTATTGCTTGCAGTCTGCCTTGACTCCAGTTTGTTTTGGATCCACCCCGCTCCCAGACCCCCCGGCTCTGTCGGCCGTGCCATCTGAGTATCACAACCTTGGAGCTGTGTTCAGCAAGGATCGGGCACTTTCTCTCCCCCCTCACCGGCCTTATGATTGTGCCATAGACCTGCTTCCCGGGGCGCCTCTGCCAAGTAGCTGCCTGTACAACCTCTCGCGCCCGGAGAATGAGTCTATGGAGAGGTACATTCAGGAATCCCTGGCAGTGGGAATCATCAGGCTCTCGGTGGGGCGGCACGGTGGCAGAGTGGATAGCACTCTCGCCTCTCAGCAAGAAGGTCCTGGGTTCAAATCCCGGTCAGACCAGGGCCTTTCTGAGTGGAGTTTGCATGTTCTCCCCGTGTCTGCGTAGGTTTCCTCCGGGTACTCCGGTTTCCCCTACCACTAAAAATATGTCCAATAGTTCTGGCATGCGCCTCCTGTACTGGTGACCCTGCTCCCATCTCTGTGTGGAGTGAGAGACAAATGCCCAAAAATTAACAATTGTAAACCGCTTTGAGACTCATATCTGCAGTGAAAAGGCGGTATATAAATAAATACTTACTTACTTACTTACTCTCGTCCTCACCGGTGGGTGCTGGACTTTTCTTTGTTGAGAAAAAAGATAAGTCTCTTATGGTGCGTTCAGACCAAACGCGATTTCTGCGGCCAAATCGCGTATATCGCGCGGCTTGAGCCGCTTGTGACAAATTGTGACAGCCGCTGTCACAGAGAAACTTGGCCGCGCGGCCAGGACACTAGAGGGCAGCCGCTGTCACAGAGCGTTGAGAGCGTTTAGGGGCGGGGCTTGTCTCTTTTGCCTGTAGCTTCCCAAAATGGATGTCAACGAAGGAGTTGCTTGGCTCTATCTAATAAATAAAGCCAGACAGCGTCGTCAAAGGGCGAATCGACGACGTGTCTGGATTCACCAGATAGTCCGTAGACGGTTGGAGTTTGGTGAGTTTCACCATTTGCTCCGGGAGCTGCGCTCGGATGAGGGTCGCTTTCAGCGGTACTTTCGTCTCTCCCTGGCCCAGTTTGACGACCTATTGACCCGCATTGGCGCAAGGATCACCTACCAGGACACCAACTACAGGCGCTCTATTACAGCTGAAGAGCGCCTGTCCATCTGTCTGCGGTTAGTGTTTTTTACCCCATTCGGAATTCCTAAATACTTACAAAGTTTGTCATTTTTCAATCACAATCCACAATGTAATAGCTCAGAAAACAGTATTATGCAACAATTTGGTGTCTATGATTACTGTCTATGATGTTTACTGTCTACTAGTTTAACGTATTTTATGCTACACAAGTTTTGTCACGTGATTTTTATGAATGTAATTGTGATAAATATGTTCATATCATTTTGTAATTGCAGGTTTCTTGCCACTGGGGACTCCTACAGGACCATAGCGGGGAGCTTCAGAGTGGGCATATCCACCATCTCCATGCTCATCCCAGATGTGGTGGCAGCCATCTGGGACTGCCTCGTGGAGGAGTTCATGGCTGTGCCTGGAGCAGAGGAGTGGAGGTCCATAGCGCAGGACTTTGAGGTCCGATGGAACTTCCCTCTGTGCTGTGGGGCCATTGATGGGAAGCATGTGGCTGTGAAGGCACCCCCCAACTCTGGGTCCATGTTCTTTAATTACAAGGGGCACCATTCCCTTGTGCTCCTGGCTGTAGTGGATGCCCAGTACAGGTTCAGGGTCATTGATGTGGGAGGGTACGGCAGATCCAGCGATGGAGGCATCATGGCCAACTCTGCCTTTGGTGAGGCTCTGCGCGAGGGCACACTCGACCTGCCTCCTGACCAGTGCATACCTGGAGCTGACCACAGAGGACCCCAGCCCCATGTGTTCGTGGCAGATGAGGCCTTTCCACTGCGCCGCAATTTAATGCGCCCTTTCCCTGGACGTGGTGGCCTTACCCCAGAGCAGCGCACCTTCAACTACCGCCTCTCCCGGGCCCGGTTAGTGGTGGAGGATGCATTTGGGATTTGGTCTGCGCAGTGGAGAGTGTTTCGCCGTCACCTGGAAGTCTCCCCAGAAGTTGTGGAGAAGTGTGTGAAGGCCACTTGTGTCCTTCACAACTTCATGAGGATGGCTGGAGATGGCCAGGTTCCTGCACCGAGGGGAGCTGCTGCCGGTGAAGAACCACTTCCAGGCGTGCAGCGGATGGGCGCCAACAACGCGACCAGAGAAGCAGTGGACATAAGGAAGGTGTTCATGGCCCACTTCAGTGAGGAGGGAGCACTGCCGTGGCAGCCCACAGAGTAGTCATGTCCACCACAAGACTGACCCACAACGGCTCTTTTCAGAGCCACCCACAACGGCTCTTTTCAGAGCCACCCACAAAATACAAAGAGCCTAACTTCATTCCTGACATATAATGTGCTGAGCCTCTTGAATATGAAATTCTTTACATTTTTTCTGGCCATAGTCCAAACCCATATTGATTTGCACTATTCTATTCACCTGTATACCTTCTGTTTCTAGGTAATGACTGCCAGACTCCACTGCGACTCCACTCCAACTTCAGGTTAATCATATGCACATTCAAGCTTTTCCGTAATTACAAGTTTGTTAAAACAGTAAAAGGTGAAATGAATAAAAAATACTGCCAACTAATGTATTGCTCTTTAAGTGTTAGTTATTTCATCTTCTATAAAACCCAGTCAGCTCTTATTAAAGTAAATGTACAAATATAGAATAGCATTTTCTGTCAGTATTATATGAAAGGTAGTAATGGTTTGCTTGAAGTAGAAACACATGAGGTTTGAAAAATATTTTCTTTATAAAAAAAGGAACAAACAATGAACAATAAATTAAATGTACATATAAACAAATGAAAAGGAGCTTGCTTGGAGGAGGTGCGGTGGAAGAGGAAAGGGACACATGTCTGTTTCCTCCCCTGCAAAAGGTGTCACCTTAGGTCAAAAAACTGTCTGTTCTGGCCAATGGTTCCAAATTAAGCCGAACGGTGCTGCTTTCATATAGAAGTTGATACATTTTGAATTTAACAAATTCTCTTGACTCTGGTGCCACCCTTTGCAGGAGAGGAACGAGAGAGAGCAGGAACTGATGTTCTTCTGAGTTGTGGGGCGGTGCGGCTGCTTTGGTCCGTAGAGTCTCCAGCAGCTCCCGCTCCCACTCTGAAGGCGGCTCTACGGACGTGGGCCTCTTCCGAGCCCTCTTCCTTGGTGGGCCTTCAAAGAACACAGGGCAATCACAGTGTTAAAAAGTGGAACATGTATTTCAAAAAAGCAAAATGAAGAGAGCAAATAATATCTGTATTAAAGCCAGAGTGTGTAGACATAGTTAAACACATGTAAAACACTTTTAAGTTGTGTGTTTGTGTTACAATTAACTTGAACATTGCAGTTATCAATGAAATTACTCACACAAGCACAAATTTCGACAGTTACAAACTAATATCTCTGAAGTGTATTTCGCAATGAAATTTGAAATTGGCTGTTAAAAAAGTAATACTCTATTGTCTGCATTAAACAGGATAGCTGCCATCTTGTGGCAACCTTTGCATGTATTTGTTCAGTACTTTTATAGCATAAGGTATTTCAGTAGTATGTTTTTATCGAAGAAAGAGGGAAGATGTGTTGTATCAGACCAAAGCTTCTTTCCACCTGTAGTGCCTTGACATCTTGTCGTTTCTCTGTAAATTTGTCGTCTACACTGATGTAACAGCCCTTGGGTAATTTTGGCATATTATGCAGTAACATTTTGTTTATATGAACAGTCCTGTAATAAGAATAAAAATAAAACAATGATTAAAAAAAGCCACACCTGTAGGTGCAGAAGCAGGGGAAGGTCCAGCCCTCACAGAAGAACCGGCTGAGGAAGCAGCAGCAGCAGCAGCAGCAGCAGCAGCAGCAGCAGCAGGCAGCTCAGGCCAAGATGTCTCACCTTGTGTGGTGGTGGCAGTATCTGCACCAGAAGAAAACAAGAAATACAATTATTTCATATCATGTGTACATTGCGCTTATGACATTTATATGTACATAATAATGTACATTATTATGTACATTTAAATGATTTGTTCATATGAAAGGGAAAAGTGAAATTTAACACAACACATGATCAAGATCTATCCTGGTTTGAAAATAGCCAATGCCTATTTTCACCTGGCCATGATGTTAAGAAAGCATTAAAAGAAATGCATACACAGAAAGCAATATAAATGTAAAAGTCAGCAAAATGTGGGTAATAAAAAGGAAAGAAATGTATTTTTTCCAACTGTTCGAGGTCTCTGTTTGCTGCATGACACCGACCTTCAGCACCTGACAGCCCTGCTGCTGCTGCTTCCTCTGGCTCTTCTTCTGGGTGGTTGTACCCTGTGGTCTGCTCCTCCTCGGTCCTTCGCCTTGGCATGTTCCCGGAGCTGTCACGGGGAGTGATGTAGGGCTCGAGGAAGGACATGACCACAAGGTACTTCCACGTCTGGCCTTTCCCTGCTTCTGCACCACTCTTCTTCACCTTTTCTTTCTCCTTCCTGCTCTCCTTAGCATATGTGTCCCTCAGGTTCTTCCACCGCTTTTTGCAAACTTCCACTGAATAAACACATCAACTCGTAAGCGGGAAAGTAGTAGTTTTTTTCGCGGGGAAATATTTACTGTGAAAAGTTAAAATAACTTACCCGAGACACCAACCACCTCGCTAACCCTCCTCCAAGCAAGCTCCTTTTTATTTCGGTCCCGGTAGCTGTGGTCTGCAGTGTTGTATAGCTCAGAATGAGCACCGACCTGAGCTATTAGCGTGTCCTCCATGATCTACTGTCATCTACTAGTGTTTTCCCGGTAGTGAAATGCGTCACTACGTCACTGGAGGAGAAAGCTCCTGATTGGTCGGCACACGCGAATTCTCCCAAAAAGTTCAACATTGTTCAACTCTAGCGGCGGCCGCGTTGGAGGCACGAATCGCGCGAAACGCGCGTCAAAACGCTTGACATCTCAAAACACGCCGCGCGAATCGCGCGGAACGCTCGAATTCGCGCCGCTCTGGCCGCGCGAATCGCGCCGCGTGATCTCTCGCCGCTCCTTGGCGCGCGTCCCCCATGTTGTGTCAATGTAGACCCGCCGCTTTGGCCGCAGAAATCGCGTTTGGTCTGAACGCACCATTAGGCCCTGCATTGATTGACGTGGCCTCAATAAGATCACTGTTAAGAACAAGTAACCACTCCCTTGATCAGTTCAGCTTTCACCCCGCTCTGTGGATCTACGGTCTTCACAAAGTTGGACTTGTGCAATGCCTACCACCTTGTGCGCATCAGCGAGGGGAATGAGTGGAAAACTGCCTTTAATACTGCCCTGGGCCATTTTGAGCATTTGGTCATGCCCTTTGGACTCACTAACGCCCCTTCCGTGTTTCAAAACCTGGTAAAGGACATCCTCAGAGACATGATTGGGAGATATGTATTTGTCTACATTGACGAGATTTCGATTTTTTTCTAGGGATATTGAGACTCACAGGCTTCATGTCTGCAAGGTCCTCCAAAGACTCCTGGAGAACAAGTTGTTTGTTAAGGCAGAGACATTTCAGTTGCCCGGGGCCAGGTGCAAATGGATCCTGAAAAGCTTTCTGCTGTCCGTGATTGGCCAATCAGAATCAGAATCAGAATAATTTTTATTGCCACGTAAGTAACAGGAGGTCACAGACTTGGAAATTGCTTTGGCTCAGTGCAACAGTCAGAAAGAGATAACAAAAATAAGAATAAAAAACACTTCTAAAGAATACATTTAAATTTAAAATAGAGTTACAGTTACTATTTACAATATACAAGTGAACATGGTGCACACAATGTAAGGTGACAGCAGTACAGTGAAGTAAAGTGACGTATGATGGGCAGTAAAGTGACTTTATAAAGGGCGGGGGGACAGGTTAAGAAGTGTTCAAGAGTCCAACAGCAGAGGGGAAGAAACTGTTCTTGTGGCGGGAGGTTCTAGTCTTGATGGACCGCAGCCTCCTGCCTGAGGGGAGTGGTTGGAATAGTCCATGTGCAGGGTGAGAGGGGTCGGCTGTGATACGACCAGCCCGGCCTCGAGCTCGGGCGACGTACAGGTCCTGCAGCGATGGAAGGCTGCGGCCGATCACTTCCTCTGCAGAGCGCACAATGCGCTGTAGTCTCTGTTTGTCCCTGACTGTGGCTCCAGCGAACCACACAGTGACGGAGGAGGTGAGGATGGACTCGATGATGGCCGTGTAGAACTGCACCAACATCTGTGCAGGCAGCTTGGCTTTCCTGAGCTGCCGCAGGAAGTACATCCTCTGCTGGGCCTTCTTGATGAGGGAGCTGATGGTCGGCTCCCACTTGAGGTCCTGGGTGATGGTGGTGCCCAGGAAACGGAAGGACTCCACAGAGGTGATGGGGGAGTCCATCACGGAGGGTGGGGGTGGGGGGACAGTGCTCTTCCTGAAGTCCACAATCATCTCCACTGTCTTCTGGGCGTTCAGCTCCAGGTTGTTACCACTGCACCAGGACACCAGCCGGTCCACCTCCCTCCTGTAGGCGGACTCATCGTTGTTGGAGATGAGTCCAATGAGGGTGGTGTCGTCCGCGAACTTGATCAGCTTCACGGAGTCGTGGCTGGAGGTGCAGTGGTTGGTGTACAGGGAGAAGAGCAGGGGAGAAAGAACACAGCCCTGTGGGGCTCCTGTATTTATAATCCGAGAGTCCGAGACATTCTTCCCCAGACGCACTCGCTGCTTCCTGTCCGTCAGGAAGTCAGTGATCCACCTGCAGGTGGAATCGGGCACGTTGAGCTGGGAGAGCTTGTCCTGGAGCAGGGATGGCAGGATTGTGTTGAAGGCAGAGCTGAAGTCCACGAACAGGACCCTGGCGTAGGTCCCCGGGGAGTCCAGGTGCTGTAGGATGTGGTGGAGGGCCAGGTTAATGGCGTCGTCTACAGATCTGTTGACTCTGTAGGCGAACTGCAGGGGGTCCAGGAGGGGGGAGGTGAGGGACTTGAGATGGGAGAGAACCAGGCGTTCAAATGACTTCATGACGACAGACGTAAGTGCTACAGGTCTGTAGTCATTGAGTCCTGTGATCCTGGGCTTCTTCGGGACGGGGACAATGATGGAGGATTTGAAGCAGGCCGGGACATGGCAGGACTGCAGAGAGGTGTTGAAAATGTCCGTGAACACAGGAGTAAGCTCACTGGCGCAGTGTCTCAGAGTGGCCGGAGACACGTGGTCCGGGCCAGGAGCTTTGCGGGGGTGCAGCCTCAGGAAGAGTTGTTTAATCTCTTTAGCGGCTATTGTTAGGCTGGGGGCAGGGCTGATGGGTGGGTCGTTAGAGTAGTGGGGGGTGGGGGAGGGAGAGGTGTCAGGGGCAGCATCAAAGCGACTGAAAAATAAGTTCAGATCGTCAGCTAGCTTGTGGTCGTCAGCACAGGGGGGGGCTTTGGGTTTGTAGTTGGTGATCTCCCGTAGGCCCCTCCAGACAGAAGCAGTATCGTTGTTACCAAACTGCTCCTGTAGTCGTTCTCTGTGCCGGGACTTAGCTGCTTTCAGTTCTTTCCTGAACTGATATTTAGCTGCTTTGTAGCCGCTGCGGTCCCCCTCCCTGAAAGCAGACTCCTTTGCTTTCTTGAGCTGCCGGAGTTTAGCAGTGAACCAGGGTTTGTCGTTGTTATAGATGACCCTGGTCCTTGTTGGAATGATGCTATCCTCACAGAAGTGAATGTATGACGTCACAGTGTCCGTATATTCATCCAAACTATCTGTGGCAGCTCTGAAAAGGTCCCAGTCTGTAGATTCCATGCATGCGCGCAGCTCTTCCACAGCTTCATCAGACCACACTTTGGAGCTCCTCATTGCAGGTTTCGAGAGCTTTAGTCTCTGTCTGTAAGCAGGAACCAGATGTATCATGGAGTGATCTGAGAAGCCGAGGGCTGCTTTGGGAACAGCGCGAAAAGCTCCGCGCACGGTGGTGTAACAGTGATCCAGAGTGTTCTCCTCTCTGGTAGGGCATTTGATAAACTGTCTGTATTTGGGTAATTCCTGGCTCAAGTTTCCCTTATTAAAATCCCCCAGGATAATAATCAGAGAGTCCGGGTATAAGCGTTC